CCCTATGCTCCCACCTAAGGACGCGGCCTAGAATCAATCATTTCCTTCTTCTTTTTTGATTCGCTCCGTTGAACTTGATTCTACACATTTTTAAACCCAACACACTAATTTGTGTTAAACACGATGTGTTTTGATCATTCGTTGAGCCGTGCAAAAGTTCTATCATTCGAACCGTTTAAAATTAAGCAAGTGGATAAAGGGCCAAAACACGAACGGGTTCACCCTAAAATTGTGTGTTTGGGTTTAAGAACGTGTAGGTCGTCAATTCAACAGAGCAAATCGCAAAAAAAAAAGAGAATGAGTGTGATTCAAGCCGTGTCCTTAGGTGGGAGCCTAGGGTGTCACCTTAGATTCACTTTTCCCATATATATATATTATATATATATTATATTATATATATATATATATTATATATATGAAGGAGAGTTCTAATAAAACCTCCTTAGCCTAAAAACTAAAAACCTCCTTCATCCATTGATCCTAGATGAATCAATGGTGGGATTCAGTAAACAAGTTACAGACACATGCATTAATTACCTCAACTAGTGAATCCAGATTCACTACCTCAACTGTATCTCGAATCACTGCAGTGAATCCAGATTCACTGCAGTGAATCCAGATTCACTACGTTGATGTAATTAATGTATGTGTTTAATGAGGTAATTATACAGTGTGTCTGTTGACTGCTTTGACTGGATCCTAGCCATTGATGAAGGAGGTTTTTATTTTTAGGCTAAGGATTTTATTAGAACCTCTCCATATATATATATATATATATATATATATATATATAGTATATATATATGAGAAATATGGGTATGCTTGGTACCAAGCACAAATTTTATGCTTGGTAGTGATGTGTCACATCCACATCCACTCATTACCTATGTGAATGTGGTCCCACATTTGAATGAGTGGAGAGAAATGTGACACCTCACTACCAAACACAACTTTACCCATATTTCTCGTATATATATATGAGAAATATGGGTATGCTTGGTACCAAGCACAAATTTTATGCTTGGTAGTGATGTGTCACATCCACATCCACTCATTACCTATGTGAATGTGGTCCCACATTTGAATGAGTGGAGAGAAATGTGACACCTCACTACCAAACACAACTTTTTATGCTTGGTACCAAGCATACCCATATTTCTCATATATATATATATGAGAAATATGGGTATGCTTGGTACCAAGCACAAATTTTATGCTTGGTAGTGATGTGTCACATCCACATCCACTCATTACCTATGTGAATGTGGTCCCACATTTGAATGAGTGGAGAGAAATGTGACACCTTGCTTGGTACCATACCCATATTTCTCATATATATATATATATGAGAAATATGGGTATGCTTGGTACCAAGCACAAATTTTATGCTTGGTACCAAGCACAAATTTTATGCTTGGTAGTGATGTGTCACATCCACATCCACTCATTACCCATGTGAATGTGGTCCTACATTTGAATGAGTGGAGAGAAATATGATACCTCACTACCAAGCACAACTTTTTGTGCTTGGTACCAAGCATACCCATATTTCTCATATATATATATGAGAAATATGGGTATGCTTGGTAATATATAGTATTGCTACTCTTATTTGGTTTTATGGAAGAGTTTGGGTGTTAAAAAAAATTAAATTATCTAATCCGGTTAAAGTAAGAATATATAAGTTAAACCCATACATGAAATTTATTTTAACCAACACTCATGTGTAAATATTACAATTGCAATTGAGATATAAGACATGTGTGAGATTCTCTTTGATTTTTATACAAACAATATCAATTTAAATAATAATAGTATAATTAAACTTTGTGATCTAAAAAAAAGATCAAACAAACAATATAAGTAATTGCTTTAAAATAATCTAATCTAATCTAATACGAAGAAAATAGATAAAAATGATGTGAAAATTATTACAATTTCATAATTTATAATTTTTAAACAATCTAATCTAATCTAATAATAAAAAAATAACAAAGGCACATATCTGTTGAATGAGATGAAAGTGCTATAAAAATTATTATAATTTCTGATCTGAAAAAAGATCGAACATACAATATAATTACTTGCTTTAAAATAATCTAATCTAATCTAATTTGAAGAAAATAGATGAAAGTGCTGTAAAAATTGTTAATATTTCTTGGTATGAAAAATGATCAAATATACAACATGATTAATTGCTTTAAAATAATCTAATCTAATCTAATATGAAGAAAATACCAAAGGCAAATACATGTAAAAAGAGATGAAAGTGCTACAGAAATTATTGTAGTTTCTTGGCTTATAAATATTGGTATATGATATTGCATGTGAGAGGATAATAATTGTAAATAGAGTTCTATTTAAATAATAATAATATAATTAAACTTTGAAACTAATTATGCAGTACCGCGAACTACTTGAATTTTAGTTGGTGAGAGATCACCACGTTGTGTCCTCATATCGCAGCCGTTTGTTTTAATTTTTTTTATAATTTTCAGAACATTTTTGTCTCTTTAATTTGGTGGATTTTGCAACTACCCCGTCAACATTATGTATATCTGTAGGTCTGCGTTATCCGGGGTTCGACCTCTTGGGTGGACATTATTTGTCTCACTAATTTGTTTGGTTTTTGCATATACGCCATTCATTTTGTATACATTTGTAAATTTGGCATTTAGAAATTTTATTTAGGTTTATATTTCAATTAAAACTATTTCTTTATTTTCATACTATGTATATCCAATAAGAATTTATCAATTTATCAACTTACTCTTACTTAATGGATTAATTTGAATTTCAAGGGTATTTTTATCTATCAAAAAATTTTTCCGAACTCGTGTTTTTAAAGAGAGTATGATATGATATGATATATACGCCCACGACGCCATGTAGAATTTAGATCATGTGAGAATCACAGGATCAAAAATCTTTTTTGCCTGAGGATAAAGATGCCGTCAGATTAGTTAACAACAATGAAGAAGGCGGAGAAGATATGGAGAAAAAGTGACAATAGCTATGTCCCCAAAAAGTTAGCTAAATTGCGAAAACAGGTGTGGAACTAATTACCTCCTAATTTTTAACTAACTAATTAAGTTAAATCGGAAGATGAGACAGTGATACTTATGGTTTACGTGCCGTCAGTTCTAAAAATAAAGAGCACCGGAGCTATCGTTTGTTTCACCATTGCAGCAAGGGATGAAATGCATTTCCTTCATAATATGTTGATCGCTTTGGGGGGAAAAACAGCCTTCTAACAAAAGGAGAGAGAAACAGATATGTTGTTAAATAATAATAGTAAAAAGTACACTTGTCATCTATTTTCACAATATTGTATTGCCAAAATATTATGTTCCCAGCGGTGTCCAAGCGAAAATTAAGCTATGATCTTGGAAACAAACATTCCCTTAAGGGGTTATTGGTTGGTGTAAGTGAGATAATATTTTTTTGAAAAGGCACTTAGGGTAACCAAACCAGCCAAGTCCTCAACAACACTCTGTCTCAAAAACAAAGGGACAGAAACAGACCAAAAAAAAAGAACAAACAGTCAACCGACTTAGCTAAGGAATGAGCAACATCATTACCAGTGTGCCTTACATAAGAAACTTTAGAGCAGCCAGTAATACTCAGACCAACGCGAACTTCATCTGCAATAGGAGCCAAGGAAGCAAAAGGAGAAGGAGAGTCCACCAAGGAGACAACCTTTAGAGAGTCAATTTCCATGACTGAAATCCTCCAGTTTATACGCCGAACAAAGCAAATGCCTTCCAGGACAGCCAACAGCTCCGCATGATCCACAGACATAGGACCCCTGATCCATATAGAGTAGCAACCAATCGATCACATGTCCATGGTGATCCCGAATAACACCTCCCAAACCAATAATATCTCCTTCCAGTGGAACAACAGCATCTGTGTTGAGCTTTAGAAAACCAGGAACAGGGGGATACCAAGCAAAAGGCTATTTGGAAGGGGCGACAATATCACGGGAGAGACCTCTAACTCTACCCCCTTCCTCCACAAAACAGAGAATCCGAGTCACAAAGACCGAGGCCTCTCTAACACCACCACCATGAGAGCGCATATTCCTTTCCCCTCATATAAACCACATGGTTGTGAAAGCCAAAGCCAGAGAGTCCCCAGGACAAACAGAGGTGAGATGGAAAAAGAAATCACCACAAGACGTACCTCGAAAACCATTAATCACTTCCTAAAGATCTAAGGACTCCCACACTAAACGAGCATAGGAAAAGACAGTGAAGATATAAAGGATGGTCTCAAAGGCAACAGAGCAAAGGCGGCAACTAGGGGGCACAGAGATCCCCTATGAGATAAACCAGCTGAGGATCATAGAACAGACGCCAAAGGAACATTCTAATCTTCGGTGGGATCTCCGCATGCCAGATCAAGGACCACCACTTTGTTACCCTAAAATCCAAGGTGGAAGCAATATCAAGCATAGTGTGGCAAAGAAGTCGGTATCCACTCTTGACTGTCTAGCACCCCTTCTCCTTATAATAACAAATGAGTCTGTCAGGGACAGGAGAAGGCGGCAGTGGGATAAATAAAATGTCCTCCCGATCTACCTACCAAAAAAAGGTAGCAATCAGCTCATAATTCCAAGTACCTGAAGCAGAGATCAGCTCAACTACCCTTCTAGAAGGGTCGATCGGAGAAGTGATTGGCCTGAAAGAAAATGGCATTAGGATCCATGGGTCAGCACTGATAGAGATACTCTGGCCATCACCTATCCTCCATCTCAGACCTCGAGCCAGGAGCTCTCTCCCCCAAATAATACTCCACCATAAATAAGAGCAGCCAGAGCTGACACCAGCTGAAAGGAAGTCCGAGTCTCTGAAATACTTCCCTTTTAAAACTCTACTAGCCAGAGAAGAAGGGTCCTGAATGATTCTCCATGCCTTCTTATCCACCAATGCCTGATTAAACATCTATAGATCTCTAAAGCCTATACCACCCTCTGACTTTGCACGACACACCTTCTGTCACATAACCCAGTGAATCTTTCTCTCACCAGAAGTTGATCCCCACCAGAATCTCATAATGGTAGACTCAATCTCCCTGCATAAAGAAATTGGAATGCGAATGATACTCATCACATAGCATGTGATAGCCTGCAAAACAGCTTTCACCATAACCTCTCACCCCCAGTTGAGAAAAGAGCCCTCCTCCAAGCTTAGACTCTTTTCCAAACTGAGTCTCTGATTGAAGTAAAAGTCTGACGACTGCTTCTTCCAACCATCGAAGGGAGGTCTAAGTACCGATCATATGACTAGGCCCTATCAAGCCCCAAGATAGAGAAAATAGAGGCTATAGTATCCTCATCTACATAGGGACTAAATGTGATGTCAGACTTCTGAAAGTTGACTTTCTAACCGGTTGTAGCCTTATATAGTAGTAGAGTACTCTGGATAGTCTGTGCAGCGGTCTGGGAAGCCTGAATAAAAATCAAAGAGTCATCTGCAAAGAACAAGTGAGAAATCATTGGCCCCGACCGGGAACAAGATAACACTCTAATGCACCTATTTTCCTCCTATCTGATGATCAGCGCCGAGAGAGCTTCCGTGCAGAGAAGAAAAAAATATGGAGATAGTGGGTATCCTCGTCACAGACCGTGAGTAGGAGTGACCTGACCCACAATCTTCCCATTGAGGTAAAAAGAGAGTGAGGAAGTAGAGATACAATCCAAGATGAGATGCCTCTAATGATCTGGAAATCCCATGACCTGAAGGGCCTTGTCAATAAACCCCCATTCCACTCTATCATATACCTTACTCATATCCAATTTCAGTGCCATATGGCCAGACTGACCCCGTCTCCTTTTTTGCAACGTATGGAGAAGTTCAAAAGAAACAATGACATTGTCTGAATTGATCTCTCTGGGATAAAGGCACTCTGAAAGCATCCGATCAATCTGTCAAGAACTCACTTCAGCCTATTAGCATTGGTTTTCATGATAATCTTGTAGACCACATTACATAGACCAATGGGTCTAAAATCTGCCACAGTCTCAGGTGAATCCTTTTTGGGGATGAGAACCACATTGATTTTATTACAAGACATGATAGACGAGCCCTCAATTAGAATCTTCAAACATGTAACCGAAATATCTAGGCTAATAACAGATCACTGGGACTGAAAAAAGGATCCATGGAAGCCATTTGGGCCGGGTGCCTTAGAAGGGCCCATAGATCGAAGAGCACCCCATATCTCATCATCTGTAAAAGGCTTAGAAATGATCTGGAGGTCATCCACTGAAAGCTTAGAAGAGATAGCACCACCCACCTTAGCCAAAACCTCCTCTGAAGGAGTGGAAGAAGAAAATAGTTCTGGGAAATACTCCTTAACAAGCATTGCAATTCCCATCTGATCCTTCATCCAAGTGCCATTAGGATGACATAGACGTCTAATGAAGTTCTTCCTCCTCCTAGTGGAAGCTCTAATATGGAAGAATTTGTTGTTACGATCCTCGTCTTGGAGCCAATCAACCCTAGCTCACTGTCACTAGAAGCTCTCTTCCCTATACTCAATAACTTCCCTCTCCTTCTCAAGTCTTCGGATCTCAGTCATGCGATCCCCCACATCAGGAGAATAGTAGAGAGACGAGAGCTTTCACTGGATAACTGATAATCTGTACCACCATCTACCAAAACACTATTTGCTCCAACTACTGAGATTTGTAGCACAAGACCCCAGCTTCTGACAACTTGATTCACATAGACCCTATTATGTGGAGATCCCATGCAAGACCTTGCTAATAACATCACTCAATTCATCCTCTTTGAGCTAGAAGGCTTCAAAGCGGAAGGGACGACCATGCTTAACTGGAAGGGGGTGAGGAGCAGCAAAATATAACATAATAGAACGATGATCAGAAACAGAGAAATCTAAGTGGTGTACCTCAACAGTGGGAAATATATCTGTAGGCATCAAAAAATGATTATAGATATCCAAATACAACTCAAGGCTGAGAAGAGAACAATGTGTATGCATGTGATAAAATACACTGACAGGCGACACATATAGGCGCGGTAGCCTATGGTGTATATCTGTAGGCATCAAAAAATGATTATAGATATCCAAATACAACTCAAGGCTGAGAAGAGAACAATGTGCATGCATGTGACAAAACACACTGACAGACGACACATATAGGTGCGACAGCCTATGGTGACGCGCCATAGGCGCGGCAGCCTGTGGTGACGCGCCATAGGCGCGACAGCCTAGGGTGACGCGCCTAAGGCGCGGTAGTCTATGGTGACGCGCCTAAGGCGCGACAGTCCATGGTGACGCGCCTATGGCGCGCCAGTCTATAGTGACGTGCAAACTACAGGGAGTTGCCGTGACGGTTACAAAACAGTTACAGAATGATTCTTCAAAGTCCACGTGGTGCCATGATGAAAAAGAAACGTGTGCTGATGTGAACAAGTGGTTAAATCACGAAAAAATGGTTAAAAGTCGTAGGAGGACGGTTTCAAGCACGATGGGAACGTGGCTGTAATGGCCTCTTTGGCCGCGCCAGTCCACACTGACGCACCAATAGCCGCGGCAGTGTAGACTGACGCGCCCAAAGAGCATCCACTTAGTCAGTTATTTTGCCCCCATTTCCACTGTTGTACACTCCTATGCCTATAAATACCTCCCTAGACATGGAACAAAGGACATAGAGCAGATTGGAGCATAGAGACTTGGGCTTTTGGTGATTTTGAGGAAGAGAAGGAGAGTTTTCACCTTTCATAAATAGCGTTTGGTGATTCCTAGAGATCTAAGCTCAGACTTGATCTTTGGAAGAGTAAACATCTTACATCGATAAGATATTCACTTCAAATTCCTACTTCGATAAACGAAGGAAGAATCTCTAAACCCCTTCATAATATGTGATTTGGTGGTCCACGAGTCAAAGCACTCCCGGCACAGGCAAAGTCCCACAAAACAGGAGTCGATAAACGATTTCTGTGTTATTTTCCAAGAGAGTTATAATTTACTTATTTTTCATTGTAATTCTCTGTAAACGATTCAAGTTTTAATGGAATCGACAATGGAAATAACTTTCAACGAAAACAAACTGGCGACTACAGTGGGAGCCAACGGTCTCGCTGCCGAGATCGTCGTGTCGCAGCCGATCAAGATCCCAGTTGAATCCACGGTCGAGTACGAGTTCGACCAGGCTAAATTTGAGGAATATCTTTCATCATCCTCTTCAAGATCTTCTTTGTCTCACGAGTACAAGAGGATCTCACGATTTAAGAAGGCTTACACGCCAAAGAAGGCTAAAGGTGAAGACCCTCACCCAATTGTTGCCGAGGCCTCCCCTCGCAACATTATCACGACGACCCCCAAAGTCGAAAGCTCTGCTCATGATGATTCCGTCCCAATTAAGGAGTCGTTCGGTCGAAGTTTTCCAACACTGACGAAGAGGGCTCGCCAGAGACAACGTCAGCGTCACGCTCATCAATTGGCTAAGGCCTTGGAACAAACCGATGGAGTTCGTTACTATGCGGACTTAGAATCGAGGAAACATCAAGTGGTTTAGTCGCCTCAACGTCAAACCACTCATATCTCTGCACAACTCACGACGGAGGAATGGACTCTCGTCAAAAGGGCTCGTTCAACTCTCAAAGAACGTATACAAAAGCGTCGTGCAAACGCCGTTCATGTCCGTGCTCTTTTGCAACAAAGACAAGAAGAGAAGGAGAAAATGGTGTCTAAAAAATCACAAAGAACCAGCCAAGTGTGGATTCCAAAATCCAAACTTACACAAAAATTGGATCAGTAGGATCAATCCTTCAACCGCAGTAGTCTTCACTGTCGCGACACATTCTTCAACCGCGGCAGTCTCCACTGCCGCGGCATATCTTTCAACCGTGGCAGTCCCTACTGTCGCGACACCTCTTTCAACCGTGGCAGTCCCTACTGCCGCGGCACCTTCTTCGACCGCGGCAGTCTCCATTGTCGCGGCCAAAAGGAAACTTCCAATGCCTCTCTTTTGACTCCGTCGACATCCATTCCTGGTTCGTCTACTTCAATCACTTCTGATATGTTACCAGTGAAGTCATGGGTCAGTCCCGACTTGTCAAAATTTAAGATCACAATGGCGGATCGCCTCTGTCCTTTACCTGATGATCAAGGTGGAATTCCAATCAAAGAACATTTGGGTCCGGTGAATGAACCCCAAATAGATTCTTACACTGGGGGTCGTAAGTATCCTCCTATCAAGTCAAAACAACTCCAGGATGGGAAAACCCCAATTTCTACTCATTTGGGAGTTCGTAACGAAACTCAGGAGCCCGTTAAGACTCTGCACCCGCAAGGGCATGGTTCTAAACATGCGACTCCTGACGTGACCTTGGATCGCTCAAATGCGATAACAAGTTGTCCTGAGAACGCCAACAAGGCTTTACATCCTCAGAAGAAGACATGTTCGTCAAAAGATATCGTTATACCTGGGGGGTCATACCAACAGACGACAGGATTCTCCGGTAATCATACCGATGAGTTGTACTATCAAGCTGGGGGTGTGAACAAAACTCGAAAGAGGATTGTCCGAGAAATAAGCTCTCATTGTTTTTGTATGCGACTCATTAGAACAGTACAGTCGGAATGTGACTACTCCAAACGAGAAGCCATCCCGCAAAGAGTCTTAGTGATCCAGAGGCTTTTCACCGAAATGTCGAAGCCTAAGCCAAGACATTTCCGCAATAGAAGATCAGCTGTCCAAGATGACGAATTCCCTGAAGTCACCATCAACATGGCTGATAAAGAAAAATCTAAGCGGTATTCAAGTGAATCAAATCCCGATTTTCCCCCGGAAGGAAAAGTCAATTTAAGAATTGCTCAACGGATGTCTCGACTCCAGTTAAGAGCCATCAGACGTAGGGATTACAAGAAAATGCATGAAGGAATGTCCTTAAATGATGAACTTTCGGACACTTGTTCTGCGATTGCTTCGGATGATACAATATCTAGCACGGGGTAAGCCAGAAAAGTGTTCACAATCACTCCTGATCAATTTGCTCAAATGCTTCAAGAAGCTCTAGCCAAGCAACGTGATGAAATTAGAGCTAAAATGAAGATGGAGATGAAGTTGGTTATCCAAAAAAATGAGAGAATTGCAAGCTCAACGACCTCAACCTCCTGAGTCCAGTCAGCGAGCTGAATCCAGCTATCACACTCAGAATGTTATAGATGACAGCGATCCAGAAGTGAATGAAGTCATTATGGCTGATACACCTCCCAATGATAATAACACTAGGGGTGGTTCAACGGATCCTCCCAACAACAATATTGGGGGTGGTTCAATTGCATCTCTTAATAACACTGGGGGTGGCCCAATTATTTCTGCTCAACATCACTCAAAGAGAGATAAAGATGAGGATAACAAACTACAAGACCTTGAAAACAAAGTCAATGCTTTGATGTCCGCTCAGGAAGTAAAGAAGACGGGTATTCTGTGTCCTTATCCAGGAGAATGGGATTCAATACCGTACCCGGTAAAGTTCAATCTGATTAACTTCACACCGTTTGATGGGAGAGCTCGCCTATTCAACACTTGATTTATTTCAAGTCTCATTTGAGCATGATCTCTGGAAACGAGGCTTTAATGGTCCGGTCATTTGTTAGCACCCTTCGTGGGCCCGCCTTCGATTAGTACTGACGTCTTAAGCTAGGGAGCATCAATTGTTAGGATGACATGGAAAGTTTATTCCTCAGTAATTTCTTCGATGATGACACCGAAGTGTCAATCGGAACCCTTCTGGATGAGAAGCAAAAAGACGGAGAGTCAGTCGATAATTTTGTCAAGCGCTTCCGTAACAAGGCAATGAATTGCAGAGATCCTGTTACAGATGAGTTCATCCTGCAAACATGTCACAATAATCTCTCCATCGAAGTCCTGGAAGCCTTGGGGATCGTACCATCCAAAACTTGGAAAGATTTGAAAATACACGGTGAACAAGCTGAACACTTTTTTAATAGAAAGAAAGTTGAGAGAAGCCAACCGACGATATCTGCAATTGCTGTGAACGTGATTCTCGATCCGAAGTTCCAAAAGGAATATTCTTTCGAAGATGATGAAGCTCCAGCCATCTTGAAATACCTCCTCGCCAACGACAAGATCGAGCTACCACCTATTAAAGACCATGAGGGAGCTAAGAGATTACAGTTCCAAACTACTATGCATACCACAGAAGGATCCTTCATCCTACTAAGGTTTGCTTTGGACTTAAAAACAAAATCCAAGCCTTAATTGACTCCGACGTCATAACGGCGAAACAAGCCAAATAAAGACGACTCATACTCCATTGGGTACATGAGTATAAACTATTTTCCCTAACTCCAATGAGTACACGAGTATAAACTGCTTCTCC